GTCCATCTAGCCCAGTAGCCTCTCTGCCAACAGGGGACAGTGCCAGGTGCCCCAGAGGGGGTGGACCAAAGACAATGATCAAGTGATCCAGGAGTGAGGGACTCTCCAGCCCTGCAGCAGCACCACCAAGCACCAGTCCGGTGGGCCAGGCAGCGGGACTAGCTCTTATGGAGGCATGTGCAGGCCGTCAGACAAACTGAAGTGGTGGCCAGCTGAAAGATTGAGGCTGACCTGGAGTGGCGGCAGCAGGCCTGGGGGCAGTTTCTCCAGAGGTGTGACCGCATGTGCGGCGACATTACCACCCTGACGTTGCACATCGGTCACGCCGTGCACTATGGCATGGCTTTGCCGCATCCTTCTGCCCTCCCTGCCATCCCCATGCTCCCTCCTGCCCCCCCAGCTGCCCCTCCTGCTGCCCCTCCAGCCGCTGCCATGCCCCCACCTGCTGCACCCCATCCTGCCTACATCCCCATCCTAACTGCCCCAACCCAGCTGGAAGAATGGTGAGGCCTCCACACCCATGGAGGCACTGGCAGGAGCTCCCCCTCCCAGTTAACAGCTCCTTCCCCTCCCAGTTGAGAGGCCCCTCCCGTTACCCACCCTTCTTCTCTATTGTAAATAAAAATAAAAGTTTTCTGGTTTTTGAAGAAAAAATGGTTTTGTTTATTGGGAGGTGAGGGAAGGCGGGGGAGGGAAGGGTTGGGGACAGGAGGGAGATGTAGATGGGAGACAGAAGTGACCCTACTGTGGGGCCTGGGAGAAAAGGTCCTTCAGGGCCTCCCAGCTGTGCACTCCATCATGGTGCGCCTGGCAGATGGTGGCTGTGTGGGACTGTTCAAATGCGCAGCCCTCAGTTACCATCCACGCTGGGAGGCAGGCCTCCCCCTTACACTACATGATGTCGTGGACCACAACTTCAGGAATGTTCTGCTCACCCATCTCGAGATGGGTGAGCAGACAACGGAAGCGCCTTCAGCCAGCCAAAGGCGCACTCAACCTGGTTGCAGGCCCGGTGCAGGTGGTCATTGAAACGTGACCGGCCAGGGTCCATCCATTCTTTGTAGGGCCACATCAACCAGGGCATGAGGGGGTAGGCCACGCCCCCCACAATGCAGAGAGGCAAGTGGACATCCCCAACTGTACATTCCCGCTGGGGAAAGAAAGTGCCCACCTCCATCCAGGCTGGAGTTATGGCGGACGCGGGCGTCATGTGCCCTGCAGGACCACCCCACATAAATGCCTGTTAAGCGGCCACAGTGGTCCATGAGAGCCTTTAGTACCATGGAGAAGTACCCCTTCCAGTTAATAAAATGGGCCGATCAATGTTCCGGGGCACAGATGGGGATGTTGGTTGCATTCATGGCTCCCGGGTAGCTGGTGAACCCCCAGAGCAGCAAAGCCAGACACTATTGCGATCATGTCCCGCAGGTGGATGGCCCTCTGGAGCAGAATGTCGTTGAGGGCATGGACAACCTGCAGAAGAGCACACACAAACACAGGGAATGCATCGAATGAGGCAGGGTAGGTGCATGATCCCTTGGGGGGTGCCCGCCTCCCTGTGATGCTCTCTGATGCCCTCTGCCCCCAAACACACCAGGGCCCTCTTACCCCACAATGCCCCACCCCATACCAGCAGGACTGTGTGAGGGAGGGATGGCACAAATCCCTGGGTGTCGGGGCTTCCCCCACTCTCCCCACCCTTCACCCCCCATCTGGAGTCTTCCTTTCCCCCAGGAAGGGAATGTAGCACCCCTCCCTTCCTCCTCCTCTCTCCCCTCCAGGACTTACCTGCATCACAACAGCACCGACCGTGGACCTGCCCACTCCGAACTGGTGTCCCACTGAGTGGTAGCTGTCTGGGGTGGCCAGCTTCCAGAGGGCAATGGTGACCCTCTTGTTGACAGGGATGGCGGGCCGCAGCCGGGTAGCATGTTTCTGGAGCGCAGGAGCAAGCCAGGCACACAGCTCCAGGAACGTCTGCTTTCGCATTCTGAAGTTCCAGCGCTGCTGCTGGTTGTCACATTGCCCCAGGACCAGCCGGTCCCACCAATCGGTACTGGTGTCCAGTCTCCAATAATGCCGCTCCATAGTCGGGCGGGGATGCCACAGGGATGACATCGCATCCGAAGCGAGGGAGTCAAGATCAAGCTTGGTCTTGAGCTCCTGCAGGAGTAGCGCAGCAGCAGCTGCAAGCACTCCAAAATGGCCGTGTGGGGCCAGAGGAGGCACAGAGCCACCCCTGGCTCCATGGCACTAGAGCAGAAGCTGTAGTGTCCAAAGAGGCTGAGAGCAACCACAACTAGAACTGCTACAGCTGTCAGTCCCTGCAAGAGGTCCCAAAGCATGAGAGAAACGGCTGTCCAGGGAGATCCCTTTGAGCACGTGTCTCAAAGGTGCTCCAGCCCTCACCCCCGGAAAGTTCTGGTGCCCTTTTGCCCTCTGCAAAGTAGTTCCGGGCTGACATTTTTGTGCAAGAGCGTCCCACCAGTGCGCTCTCTTGCACAAAAGCACATGGCTCTTATGATGCGCTGTGACCAATGTGGACGCTCTCTTGTGCAAGTACTTTGGCGCAAGGACTCGTGCGCAAAACAGTTCTTGCACAAGAAGCGTGCAGTGTAGACGTAGCCCCTGTGGCTCAGCGTACCAGTTGTAAACTTCATATGATGTTCACCGGTAGTGTTTGAGACTTTGGGTTGGCTATTAAGTTTTTGTACCCCTATAACTATATCAGTTTAGGTGCTACAGCTCTGTAACACAGTTATACCAGTATGAAGGTGCCTTATACGAATGTAGCTTTTAGTTCCAAATTTACAAGAATTTACAAGCACCTTTATATCATTTTAATTCATCCATATCTGGAAGATATATTGCTTTAAATGCTGCAGTTTCTGAATCAACATAGGGGCACAAAAACTGTGAAGCCAATCCCTTAATCAACGTTTAGGAGTAGCTTTGAGACGATTGGTGGAAGGGTACTTTATAAATGCTAAGTATGTATAGTATTACTAGGAGCTGAAAGCCCATGGTAGGTGGATCAAATAATCCACTAGCTGTGCAGGCTCCTTCATACAGCCAATGAAACTGTTGTATGCAAATTAGCTATAGAGTGCATATGAGAATACTTTTATTCTCACCATGGTCTAGGTCTCTTGGCGTGGCCAAGATACCTTACTGTAGTTGTACACTTATGGGCGTGAATACTATATGGCTGAGACCTTTAAAATTGGACAGTAACAGACTATGAATCCTAGTGGTGCTCATGGTGATCCTCAGAACAAAAAAGAGCTCACAAACATGCTTGTAATTATTTCACACTGACTCATTCTAGACAAGTTGGCATTGATCACCATAAACGTTTCCTCTAATCTTTTCCATTCATGTGCAGAATAAATCTTTTATGCGCACTGAGGCATGTGCAAATGTGCACCATCAGTAGAAACAAAAAAAAACTAGCAGATGGTGCTCTGCTTATCAGCTGGACTGCATTGGAATCTCTCCTGAACAGCTGCACCAGGGCACCACTTACAGGGAGTGCTGATCACCATCCCAGGTACCAGCCAAAACACTCTAGTCCAGCTCAGCTACTGCGAACTCTCATCAGTACCATGAGTCTCTAGTATCTACTGACTCACAGCACCCAGTTCTAGTAATGCACCTTCCATCTTCAGCAATCACAACCTGAGGCCCAATGCCATCAGTACTGTCCGTTTTGGAATCTTTGCTACCATGTGGCAATAGAAACCCTGAGTCAGCAGAGTCATCTGCAGCGGTGCCCGTATGCTCAATGCACTCTTTGATGGTACCATCTTCATCACAGCATTCGATTATTTCACTGCAAGCAATGGTAAGCAGGCCTCTTTCTCATACTTCCGGTACCCAGGGCACTGCTTAAAGGAATAGTCCTGAGTCTATCCATTGCAATGAATGCTATTATACTGGCATCAAACTGGAGCAGCACAAACTACCCAGTGTGGCATCGGGCCTTTAAATTGATTTAGCTGTTGACGATGTTCAGATTTTAAAACAGCCCAACATTTTTTGTTATTCGCTGTTAAAAGAAATTAGTTCTTGGCTGAACAAGCGTATGACAAATGTTTGCTAGAGCAAACCTTTGCTGCCTGTAAAATGAAGCCTGTAAAACCAAGCCTGTAAAATGAAGGTTTAAAATGGAAATGGTGACACAAACCATAACAGTAGCAGTGCCTCATGTGTGCTGCCATAGTAATGGACATTGAAAGAATGCTGTCACAATGCATTGAATTTTTGGCTTCCTTATCACTTTGTAAGACATAGTTACTCCAGAATATTAATGAGGAGAAGGTTTATTCTGAGTCCCTGCCTCAAGGATTTACTACACTGAAAGCAGACACTGTCTGGATGCATGAAAGTGGCCCACAATACCACACTTATTGTGAGAGAAGGTTTTAGGAAAACCAGCTGTGGAACCAAAACTTGTTTGCTTCTCCAAAAACTATGTAGGCTCTGTAAAATATCCTTAACAAACTAGGAATTCTGCATCTTTGCACCATGTGTATCTCCAATAGTCTGTCATGGGGCAGATTTAGGTAACTACAGTTACCTGTGGAAGCATTACAGAAGATGCATTAAACAGCAAGGTAAGTCTTACACCTTTGACAATGTAAATATATGTCAGGCCCTGAGTCTTCGGGCTTTCCAGACCCAAAGCTAAAGACGGATATGTGCCATCTTTAATATAAAGATTGCAGCTCACAAATCAGATTATCAGTGGAAAGAGGATCATCTACTGCTAGATTAACATTGAAAAGAAATCATATCTAGCCTTAACCAGCCAAGGCACTGCAAGCTGCTCAAATAGACGGCCTCTGTATTCTCTGGTCTGAGAACTCTTAAAAATAGGGACAGGTATTTTTATTCTGAACATGCTGTGAGGACTCTTTTGTTTACCTGTTCTACTTAGTACGCCATTCAAAACCTTCACCTTTTGTCCTCACCTCAGACACAGAATCCCAATGCATTTACTCACGTGATGTGCTCGGATACCGTTGCAGTGTTGAATCAATAATCTCATTTGAAAAACTTGCTGAAGGCAGGGAATCGCCTCATATTGGATGTGCTATCAGAGTAAAATCTGCCACCCTGGATGCAATTTGATCTCCATCCTGCAAGGGTAAGTCACTCGAGCAACTGAGGGATTTAACAGCAAAGTCAAATGACTGAAGAGTCTGTAATAAGTGCTGTGGAAGGTTACAGGGGTTAGTAGGATGCAGTACTTCAGTTTTTCAGTGGAGCACTTTTTCTGCAGCTGTTTAGATTACAGAGTTTGTCCCAATTTATAGATTATGATGTACAGTATTTGTATGCCGAATAAGCCCCCATATTGAAACTGAAAGCAACAATGTATCCGGATCCATTACTTGCCTTTCTTGGAATGTGCTCATTGTATACAAAGGGCAACTAAAGCAACCGTGTGTGTCTGGGTTCAGAATAACTTCTTTGAGCCTTCTTGATAAAATTTCCACCCTGTTTTCATCAGGGTGTTTGAGACATACTGAGTCCAGACCAACCCATCCTCCCAAAGCTTCACGCTGTCCTGTGTCCCTTCCCAGAAAATAGATTTACATGCAAATCCCAAATACACAATGCATGCCTTGCTTCACAGGTGGCTTATATTTGGAAAGTGAAACCAATCTCTCACCGACTACCAGTCTGTGCATGATCTCTTTTCCGTGGAAAGGAGTACAGTCCTTTTCCAGGACTGGGATATGCTCATTTAGGGGCAACAAATTATTTTCATGATCTTTTATAAAATAACAATATTTTGGGTTTCCTTATCATTATACATGTGAAGGATTTTAAAGGGCCACTCCGTTTCCTGTGGCTATAACCAAGTAAGTCTTGTGATAGAAATGTAGCCGTGTTAGTCTGGTGTAGCTGAAACAAAATACAGGACTATGTAGCACTTTAAAGACTAACAAGATGGTTTATTAGATGATGAAAAATCATCTGGCCCACGACAGCTCATCATCTAATAAACCATCTTGTTAGTCTTTAAAGTGCTACATAGTCCTGTATTTTGTTTCAAGTAAGTCTTGGTTTCCATGATGTTTGCCACTGAACCACTCAAAAACGATGGAATAGAATGAGATTAAAACAAACAGGAACCATCAACCCTGTTCCATAAGATAATCTGTACAAATGCGACGTCATTGCAACTATTCATTTAATAAAATCGCTTTTCCCAACAAGGATCCATGCCTACGCAGGTCCAAACTATGTCAGGCAAATTCCAATAGGGGACTTCGATGAGGTGATAGCATGAGGATTTCAGACAAGGTTTCTGCATGTCCTTGAAGAGGCCAGCAGCCACTGCAGTGAGGATGCAGGGGGCTGGAGGGGGAGCGGGAGATACTAAGGTGAGCTGCAGGGCTCCAGCTACTATGGTCATATTGGTCCTTGACAGCTTGGAAGCATATGTGGTATCGGTCTGTGAAAGGCCTGCCCGCAGACTAATAAGCACCCACATTTAATATCCAGGACATTTTTAAAGCTCCCTTTGTTACGTAGCTGAAGCAATGTAGGGAGAGAGTATCAAATGAACACCAGTCTGTTAGGCATCCACCTCTTATTGAAAATCAATGGGAATTTGTGTCTGAGAGAGCTGCCCCATAAAAAATCCCAATATTATCAGATTATCCCGATATCATAACAGTTAGTAGTCAGACAAATGTCCATCTAGCCCAATATCCAGCCAATGCCAGCTGCCCCAGAGGGAGTGAACAGAACAGCTAATAATCAAGTGATCCATCCCCACCCATACCAGATTCACTGAAATAATAAACTGAGAACAATAACAGCTGCCTTTAAGTTTACCTGGATGCTGTTAGGATGTTCCCTAAAACAAATATATTCAGTCCACACTTAGGCTGCTTATGGTATTCTATTTGCTGAGCTGGTGGTGTGTCTGTTCACAAGTTAGTGGAACTATTGTCTTTGGTCATAGGATCCCAGCACAAACAGATTTAGACAAGCTTCCTGGGTTAAATGAAAGGCTGAATGCTTTGCAAAGGGTTGTGTTTTAACGAGCTGCTTTCCTTTTGAAGCTGCCCTCAAGGTAAGGCTATGAAGAAAAGTAATTCAGTTAAACAGAATAGATGTCAAGAAAAAAATATGAGCAGTCTTCAAACAATGGGACAATCAGGTGGCAAAAATGAACATCACACACGAACAGTATTTTCCTACCACGGTGCACCTGAGAAACCCCTTCAGTCAAGCACTTTCTGCCCCTGCTGCCACTGAGAATTTAACAAGGTTGCATTAGCCAAAGTACCATTAGGAGACAAGCGTTCACTGGACGGTATGAAAGATTCAAAAACAGCCTTGCAAAAGAGGATCGGGACTGTGGAGTAAACACACAAAATGGTGGGGACCCAATGAAGAACGGGTATATCAGTGTGCAATGTTTGTCAGTTTGTCTCCTTAAGGGGAGGTTGATGCATTTTATCCCAGTTGGTCATGCCACATAGCCACTAGCCCCACAGAGACTGAGCTATACTGCTTCAACATAGGTATGATAAATTCAGGGATCATCGTGGTTTCCTAAAATTTGAGTTTTAAAACCCCCACAACTTCAGTTGTAAAACATTTTAATTTGACTTTTATTTACACTGAATATCCTTATTTCCTAGGCAGATAGTTCCACTAGTATAAATATAAGTCCTTATGCCATTCTTATCAGGTCAGTGGTATTTAGATAAGAATTTGAGTTGGGGAAAAGTTATAAAAAATGTAAACCTTTAAGTTTGCCTTCCATATATAAATGATGCAAGTTTTTGCTTCCTGTCTACTGCAGCTAGCTAACAAAGTCAATTTCACCCGAGAGTAATCAAGAGGAAAGATTTGGAATTTTATTTTAAATCTGTTAAACATAAAAATAAATTATATCATTACAATGCATGAGTCATGGAAGTACTTACAATTGAATTACAGGGACTCTATGCATAGACTATAAGCGAAATAATCAAGTTTTTGTTTCTGTTTCTTGTTTATTTCATGTTGTGTGGGGCTGTATGTTTCCATTTGTAACGTGCAAAAACTTGAACAGCTCAACATTTCACAACTGAGTTCTCCTTAATTTTACTATAATTATTGAATCTGGTGATTTATAGTATTAACTAAATCCCTGCGTTAGAATAGCTCTCTTGTATGGAACTTCTCACCTATTACTCTATTGGATTTAGTTTCTTGACATCTTTTTAAAAACTGGTCTCGATTTGAATGATCCAATCGTCAGGATCACTTTGCTTTGTTTGCATCTCCCCCTTCCTTGCCCATCTCCCACCAAAGGAGTGTGCTTTCTCTCTCTCAACAGGTTGTGCCTTCCCAGCTCTCCATAACAATTCCTGAGCAACTCATCCCCTAACACTAAGCAACATGGACAATCTTTCCCATTCCCAGTGGGCAAATGACCTCATTCTACCACCCCGATTCTCACTGGCACTGGCCTCCAATGGTCTCCTTCTACCTTCCTCCCGATGTCTTTTGGCTCTGCTGGTTTCCATTCTGAGAGATGGATCAAGATCTAGCAATTAGAAGAGCAGAAATGTATGACTGTCTTGGTATGATGGAGGTGAGACCAACCAGAATTTTTTCCAGCTAAAAGTTCTAACCCAGTTGGGATTCAGGCTTGTGCGAGGCCAAACACCTTCTCCAAAAGTGCCGTTTAGTGGTTCATTGAAATGCTATGAACCTAGACAGCTCCAAGGTATCCTTATGGTTCAAGTGAAATAATGGGGGTTAGGCCCATTAATTCCACACATACATCTAAAGCCTAAACTCGTTTCCCTTTCCTTAAATGAAGGATTTTTAGGAGCCACGGTGGGATTTCTCCATTGTGGAGCCTGATTCTGCTCTTACAGTAGTGGTATTCCACAGTTGTCAGTGGCTTTACTCCAGATTTGCATGTGTGTAACAGAAGAGATCGACCCCTAATTACCATAATATCAACAGAATCTCCAAAACCGTAAATCTGTGGGAACTATTTCTTATATCTAGCTGCCAGACGTGACACACATTTGACATTTTAGAAGATAATGGCTCTAAATGAGTATCAGTCAAAATAGCATCATGTTCAATGACTAATTTGGCAGACACAAAACCTTCAATGATTTAGTGCTGAGCTCAGAAATCTAGTAACTGCTTTTGGCTGTAGACAAAAAAAAAAAAAAAAAATCAAGGCAAGGGGAGACAAGGTGGTACAATGGGACTTAGAGCCTGTCATATATCTAGACTACTGGTCCAAACCTGTCCTAACAGTGATTCAAAACGGTGACACTATGAGGGCTGTTATGATGTCTTCTGGCACATTTGTGACCTCAATTCAGTCTCACATAGACAAACCTTACTACTACAAAATCACCACGATTGACTCTTCCGAAACATGTACTCAAGAGACAGCTTATTATTTAAACCTTAGAAATACAATGGCACTTTAGTCTTAGATATGTGTACTGTTGATGTTGAGTCTGCTTGCTAAGGAGACCCTCTCCCCTTTTATAATCTCATGTTTTTGGAATATGTCCCAACTTGTGCAATGTTATTTTTTCTCTATTAAGTCACCACAGGAGAATAGTAAAAGGAGGGTTGCCAGATGTACAGAGAAGTAGAGACGCAGGCCATGTTTTGCAAATCACACCCATTTGTTAGTTTCATTCCAAGATATGAAAACTGACTAGAAAAAAATTATATTTTCCTTCCCATGTAAATAAACTGGTGAAGGAGAAGGGGAGAAATAAAGACAACTTGTTGGGAAGAAACCACATTTGATTTTGAATGAAAGGGCTTTTCCATTGCATGGGGGCACAGTGTCATCAAAGCTTTTTGTGACAGAGTCGGTGTTTTTACTTCCTTGCCTGAAGGGTATCACTGTAATGATAATACGTAACTCAAGGGACTCATTGGCCAGCACATGGTCTACACGGTGAGGGGAAATTGCTAGAGGATGGGAACAACCAAGCCTCAGAATCACTTGCAGGATCTATCCCAGGGTGGGCAATAAAAAAAAATAGTCTCACCAGGGTTAGTCCCTGGTGGGCTGCATCACTATATCTACTTGCACCTCCACAGGTATTGAGCGATCGCAGCTCTCATTGGCTGCGAATAGCCATTCATGGCCAATGGGAGGGGTGGGAAGTGGCACAGACTGGGAGGTGCAAGTGAATATAGAAGTGGGAGTAACCCTGTGGACCAGATGCAGCCTGTGGGGTGGAATTTGCCTACTCCTGATCTAGCCATTGTGAATCATAAAAGTGAATTGATTTCAATGCCCCAGTCACTTAGTTGGCATCAACTGTTTTTCTCAAAGCGCCAGACTCTCATTTCCGTTTGATTAATATATTTTTCTGTCATCTTAAAGATATCAATAAAACAGCATTTTACCATGCTGGCAGAAAATAGAACAGCCATTTCTATTGACTTTCTGAAGGGGATGCCGACTGCTGTTGAAATTGTTTGTTGTTCTTCAAATTGCCATCACTTGTCCTCCTTCAGTTTACTTTTGCTTCATCCTCTCTCCAAAGATGTAAAATGTGATGCCTTCCCCCTCCCCCCTGCCTTGTCGTTTTTCTCATTCTAAAAATCTCTAGTGCCCTCTTTGGGCCTGGAACTACCATTGTCTGCATGTTTGTAAAGTGCCTAGCACAATGGGGCCCCAACCAGTTGACAACACAGTTGTACTAGAGATATGACATAACAGTGCCATTACTAACATGCAAAGCAGCTAGGTTGGCCCTGATTCACCGCTGCACCTAATGGGCTCACAGTACAATGATGGCTTTCAGTTACCTTTTCAAAACTCCAATAAGGGAGCAGCTTTGGCAGTTAGCATGAGCAAGAGCAGCCTGAAATCCTGGCTGCAGCTGGAAATAACTGATTTTCTGTTTGCAGGTAGTTCCAGGATGACAAAAGAAAAATCAGGAGAAAAACTGATGTTCGGGTCAAGACAAAAAACCTACAATGCTTTGGAATTGTTGGTGAATTGAAGAAGTCAGAACATTTGTGTTTCATTTAATTTTAAGTCATTTTGAACAAGAGCATGGGGAATGTCGGCACATGCTTACAAAACATTCGGCCTACTACTCAACGTTAGCTCTTCTGCAGGGAGGGCATGTCTTTTAATCTTGTTGCAGCTGTTCCACTTTTGATAAAACATTTAAATGGTCACTACTTAAAAAGAGCCTAACTCTAGGACATCCACCTAGGAGATCTGGGTGCAACCCCCTGCTCCAAAATGGATCTGAACCTGGGTCTCCCTGAGCCAAGGTGAGTTCCCTAAGTACTGGCTATAGAGTGTAAGACCACTTCTCTGTTTTGTGAATGTATCCTGAAAAATTGTCCTGCCATGTCATCCATTTATTCATGTGACCCTCATCACTGCATTATCCAAATGCCTTGCTATCACTAATGGATTTCATACATTCAACATCCTTTGGAGGTTGGGTAGTATTACCTCCTTTGCACCAATAAAGAACTGAAACAGAGCAGATTAAATGATCTTTTCAAAGTCACACAGGTGCTATGGTTGAAGTTGGAGTGGAATCTAGAATTCCCAGCTGTAAGGCCTGGTTACATTACAAAGTTAAGGTGACATAACTCCGCTTTATTTCCAGCTAACTGAAATGTGCTGGATGCTGTAAAATTATCTCTCAGAATGGTGAACACCCATGGTCAACTTAGTGAGGTCAATGCGGTATGAATTTAAACACTGTTTGACCTGTATTGATCCTAATAGATCACAGTCAAATGTCCCACAATGCCTCACTCCCAACAATAGAGACTGCTTTGATCACAATCATGAATTTTGCTGCCCAGGGGATCCTGGAGACCAAAAGCCACTTCCCTGACCTTGGAAATCCCCACATAGGTCATGTTTTCTAGATGTTTAATCATTTTTTTGCTCTTCTCTAGACGTTCTTCGATTAGTTCACATCTATCCTGAAAAGTGGCACCCAGAACTGCACACAATACTCCAGCTGACACATTATCAGCGCATTTAGAACAGAAGAATTATGTCTCATGTTGCTTACAATACGCCTGCTGATCCATCCAGAATGCTTGCTTTTTCTGCAATGGTGTTACATGGTTCATTCATCTTTTGTTCGTGAGCCACTAGAGCCCCCATTCCACAGTTCTCCTTCCCAGGCAGTCCTTTCCCATTTTTAATGGTGCAACTTCCTAAGTGGAGTGCTTTGAATCGACACAGTTATGCCCAGTGAGTACCTACAGCACTGATGCAAGCAGACAAGTCTGGATGCGTCCAAGTGACTGACACACTTCAATGACTGTTTGGTGACGTACCTTGTGTTGACCACAGTTTGTAGAGCTGACATAACCTTATTCTAGTGCTCTACCAAACAGACCATCCCTCTTTCCCCACCACTGATCGCAGGGAAACCCTCAGAATATCCTCCACTTGCCAGCTACACCTGGCTTTGTCTGCTTAGAGCATCAGTGTGGCACAAAGCTGCCAGAGTGCGGGGAAGAATATGGTCCCTCCTATGTGACCTTTTTGGTTTTACATGCAGGAGACTGGGCATTACCGATCCCTTGGTTCTGGTCCCACTGCTGCCACGCTTGAGCTGTGTGACACTTCTGATCTGTAGTGAGATAGCTGGTAAATGAAAGCACGTCCCAAAAGGCCGGTGGTTCGGTATATCTAAATCATTCAGAAAACAGGAGGAGATTGGAGTGTAATAGAAATGTCAAACTGAGAAACACTCCTTTTTGCAGCAACAACGCAAGCTTGCTTCTTTTCTCAGGGCTCGGTTAAGTACTGCCTCTGTCATTTAGCTACACTACTCTTCTGCCCCCATTCCCTGTGGTGAAAAGCCTGTGGCCAGAGCCCACTCTGAGTGTTGTGGTGGGGAACGGATCTTTCCTTTTGCATTGTGAAAGGCTTTCTAAAGCAGCTTTTTTTTTCTTAACCGTTTCCGCTAAGGTGAACACGTCCGCTCGAAACCAAGTCACATCTGCTTACATCACTCGTGCTGACACGTTGGAGTAAGTCTAGGTGAGGCATCAGTCTACCTGTTTAACGCCGCTGGCCATCAACATAGTCTCTGAGCTGCACTCGAGTGATGCAGCATCCCAAGAGTTTAGACGCTGCGATTTGTTTTAGAAGAATTGAATTGTTAAAGCCAGAAAGTTTTACTTTAATAACAGGAGTCTGAAGAGAGAGACGGGTTCTTCCATCATGAACAGTTCTGGGACTGCTGTATGCTACTACATCAGTGCAAAGCAACCCTCACGCACACTGGACGGGGTAAAAGAGTAAAACACCTCTTCCCTCTTGTTCCCTATGGTTGACAAAGTTGCATAATCATGGTGTCCCTGCTCCTCTGCAATCAGCTCCTCTGCTGAAGTTACCCCTTGGGACCACAGGCAGCTTGTGTAGATTAGCTTTGCTTTCTGGTTGTTTTGCGTATGGCAGTCAGGGACCACTTGGGAACTGGATAGCCCAGGATTGTGGGAGAAAAAAGGGCAGTTTTGCATCCTTTACTCATGTTGTGTTGTAGGGGCTCTTCAGCTATAGCCAAGGCTCACTTCGTACTCACCTTGTCGAAGACCTTTTTGCTAGAGAGACTGCATAAGTCACCAGTCTTGTTTGCTCACCACCTGGCCCATCCTTAACTTTCCATTTTTTTGAGAAATAGTTTCTCTGAGCTCTGGGTGTTTAAACTTTTTGCCTGTTGCATTCAAAATATATCTACAACCACATGGCACCTTGGGCTGACGTGGAAGAGATACGAGGGATGACAGCTGGTAGCCCAGTATGCAAGAAGGTCATTGACACAGAGGGTTAGTGAAACATACACCCACTGCACCATAAATAGGGCAAGGTACATGGAGTCCTTGTGTTGATGCCACCCAAGGTACAATGACAGGAAGGAATGTGTGGCTGTGCACAGAAGAGGAATTCTCTTTGAGGAGGGACATGGCGGAGGGAATAGACGTTATGGTCACCCTTTAAAAAGGCAGATGTCATTCTCCCCACATGCCATTCTCTGGCCCAGCCAATCAGCTCAGTGGCAGGGATAGTAATATTGCTGCCTTGGTTCATGTCTCTCCAGGAATCCTACTCACTGAAGAGGGTTTGGGAGATTTGTGCCCTGACTGCAGTTTCTCATGGCTGATCCTCACCGCCTGTAGCGTTTCCCTGTCTTGCAGCCTTTTACTGATGCCATGTTTCCTAGAATTCCCTTGAAAGCTTATTAGTCTGAATTTTCTTTTCTCCTCCTAACTAGACTTCTTAGTGATTCTCTCCTCGCTCGTGTGCTGCATGATAGCAGGACCAGCTTCAGTCACTTGGCTCTATTAAGTCAAGGTACTATCTGATGCCATTTCTTGAGAGACTGGGAGCCATCTTGATCTGTCACTAATCTGGCAGACATCTCAAAAGGCTGCTAAGGTGTGAAACACCATGAAATCCTTGGAGGTTTTTTATTTATGTATTTATTTGTACAGCAATCTTGGCTTTGCTCTCATTTTCTTATTTTTGGTGGTTTTAGAGGAGAGTTGACTTTACAGTGTGAATGACAACCTTGGAGGAGCAGATGGTTCACGGGAGCTGCAGGTGGTAGAGGGAATGTTTTTTCTGAGTAAGCTAGTTCTTGGGCATGAAGTGACCTGAACTGAAATGGACATAGGTTAGGCAGTTTGAGACTCATCTGTGTAATACAAAGAACTAAAGCGAGGGTTTGACTGGGTGGCCTGTTTCTTCTGTGCGACTTGGACCTAAATGGAAGATAGAAATAGAGTCAAGTTAATGGTGCCTCCCTAAACCTTAGTCCTACAGGTCCCTTAATTGTAATGCTAAGCCAAATGCAACAGTTCTGTCCCATGGGAAATGAAAAATTTTTCACAGTGTGAAAATTCCAGAAAATGTTATTGCGAAATATATAAAAACATAATTTCCATTTGTTGAAATGACCCGAGCTACTTAATTTTGAGTCATTTCAGCATTAAACAATCTTGTCCCCTTTTGGTGCATTGCCTCATGGGAATTGTAGTTTAGAAGCCTGATGTCTCCATTTGGCTGTATGGAGACAAGCTGCCTGGCCAGACTCTCTTCGAGATCTACCTAGAGTTATATGACTTCTCTGATTTAAGTCAGCCACATATTTCAAGAAAAAGGAAATTTGATAAGACTCTGGTGGACAGTGATAATCCATTAGGAAGAGCCTGGCTAGAGGGAAATTTGGATTGCATTATGGAAGATGGAGTCTTCCAGGGAACTTGGCCTATATGAGAAAATACTCCCATATTCCCAAACTACAAGTCCCATAAGGCAGACTGCAGCGAGGGAAATACATTTCAAGGTTTTATGGAGTAATTGGAAACTAGTTTGTCATTAAAAAAACTCCAAATCTGGTTCCCAAATGAAATATTTAATTTCTATTCTCCCAGTGGAAAATTGGGAAATCAGCAAAATCAAGATTTTTTCCCACAATGGCATTCAATGGGAATTTTGCTTGCGTAAAAGTACAATTAAGTTCATGATTTAGAGGCAATGGGTGTTGAGCCTCTCTCTGGATCTGCCCTAATGATGTAAAGCATCAGAAAACAGTTCCATATTCAGCAGAACAGAATTAAAGGCAGGTTGTGCTCATACAGGGAACAAAATGAATTCTATAGCAAATACATCCTCCCAGCTTTGCTGCCCTTGACTTTTCTTTAGGAATTTACTGTAGTAGCATCTTTTTCATTGTCTCAGATAATTCTTGCTGAATATTCATACTCTTTAGTTAAAGGGTGACTAAATGAGCCCACTCCCGAGATAAAGTACCATCTCTTTCCATAGCTAAGGGACCTCATAGCAATTTTCAGTCAGCCACATACTTCAGGAAGCAGATAAAAAGGAAATTTGATAAGACTGGTGGACATTGATAATCCATTAGGAAGAGTAGGATGGGTCTATTATGTGGGAGATTGGGCATAATAAGTAGTTCATTACTCAAATGGAAGTTGAGAAAATCTACGTGGTAATAGGATTCCTTCAGGACTTTGGTGCATATTATCTGAGCCCTTAAGGACGAGTTGTCATTATCCAAACGGCAGGTTTAGAGTTAAGTCACATGTGGCATATAGCTGCTGAGCTGCTATTCTATTACTCAGCCTGCCTCACTGCTCTTCCTAGCCTCCTCTCATTGACAGTTCTCATGATGTGGGTGAATTTGCTGAGTTCTTAGAACTAAGGCTCTTAGCAATGCACCTGAGATGTGTTAAGAATGATCATGAGCCTCATGGGGAAAGGGGGGGCTGGTGCCATCTGAAAGTGGGTGAGCAAAGCTGCTATGTAAATGTGTGCTCAGAGCCAGCTTACTGCAGCAGTGAGACTTTGTTCATCTCACATTGCACAGGGTATGCTTTAAAAAAAGGTCTGCTAGAAGGACATGCCACTTCATGAAGCTGATTTTATTCAAACTTCTTCCTACACGTCTTGGTTTAATACTGTCGTTCCTTTGTCTTTCCCCT